TCACGAGTGGAAAGAGTCGCGTACTCGCGAATTGGAAATTGTAAATACGGTTCGAGTGTCTCGAGTAGTACGAGCCGCGAGCGTGCGGAGAAGAATATTCCGCGCCCAAGACCACGATAATAAATCGATTCGATCCGATGAAGAGTGACGGGCACGATTAATACGGAGGAGCACTTATCGTGAAAGCGTACCACGCTTTTCATCGGCATTATACGCATTACCGTTTTTCTTTTCGTTTTTATAACCGCAGCTCGAACGTGCTCTAATTTCGAATCCTCTCGAGAAACGAAAAGGAACTCGAATATATTCTATGGCCTTAACTGGATTATCCTTTATACGTTCTTTTTAGACCTATTCATTATTTGGGTACGCGATGTTTCAGTTTCGTATATTCTATCTATTAACTCTATGTCGGTACCGTGTTGGTAGCCATTGAACACTTCTGATCATGATCCACCGTCAGGTACCCAGTTCTTGATCAGAACCCAATTCCTGATTAGTTTAGTGTACAGATATCATATAATAAATTTATTAGGTTGTTTTTCATAAAATTACTAAATAATTCTTAACTATTTTGAAATGCGTATGTAAAATTTGATAGCTCAGAGTAAGACACAGATATGTGCTTTAGGTTATCAGAAATTGCTCCCTTTGCACTTCTTACTTGAAAAGTTAAATTACAATTTAATTGTATTACTATTTCTGCAATTTTGTTAATACCAAATTAAAGATAAAACATAGACTTACTCGAATAACAATTTTTTTGGATTGAGTTAATTTTTCTACTTACACGTTAAAAAACGTGATAGTTACTCTTAAGTGATCAGGAGCCCGTACGCAACAATAATTATCCGAAAACGGATGCAAGTCTTTTCAATACCAACTTCCAGTTTCCCTTCCAAACACCAAAGAAAATTCGCATTACTTATGGAATGACCTTGACAGCTGGTCCGTTTCAGTTTCTCGTGCAAATGGTATTCGGTATCTAAACGTTATATTAATTTTTCATATCCTATATCTTAATGGACGCCATATTGGTAGCCGCCGAGTGGCTTCTGACCGCGTTTCCTCCCCCTGTGTCCATCTGTGAAGCAATAATTATGCGAGAACGGGTGCAAGCCGTAAGTGTGTTTTTAACATTCCTGGATAATTTTTAACGGTAACCATTCCCCCATGCTCCCCGGGGAGAACCGGTTTCACGCGGGGAAAACAACGAAAGTACAACCCCGCTTGTATTTCATCGGAGCCACTCCGTTATTACAGCGGTGTCGATGAAGCGCCCGTCTGTTTTATTTGCAACTACAGCCCTGGTTCGCCTTGCCGGCAGCCTTGCCCGAACCGGCCAACGACCGTATCTCTCTTACCTATCCTGTAGCGGCCGTCTCCCTTTCTCTGTCTCTTTCACGCTCCTTTCTCTTTCGCCGGCGAACCTCCGCCACTCCGTCCACCAGGGGCCCCTCTTTGATCCGTTGTACAGGTAGGCTCACGTGGAACGTGCATAAAGCTCCTTGGGACAGTTTAAACGAGGCCTTTTTGGAATACGCCACCGTAAAAGCTCACGGGGGGGGATATTTTTGCGCCTTGACATATACCGCAGTCGTAGGGTATACCGCTGCCTCGAGTGGGTTGCTTGGCCACTGGTTGGAATTAAATTAGCTTTAGGTTTAATGCAAGCTTTCTGAAGGCTTGGCCCTTATTATATATTCTCGGTTGCGATAAAATTGCACTGTATTATAATCGTACTATTATTACTAGATTGTGGATTTTATGCATTTATAACATAACCGATTTTCTAGAATCCAGCAGCTCGACGAAGTTTAACCCTTTTAGGACCTTACAATTTTGTTGTGTACCATTTGGAAATAGTATACTTGTAAAATATGCGTTGTTGAAGATATTTATTAAATTACAATTTACACGTTTTTTTTTGTATTTTAGTAACTTTCTGTATGGGAATAATTTGTATTGCATATGAGAAGCCAAAATATTGACTCAAGTTATTTTTGTATTAAGTATTATTTTTCGGCTTTTGGGTACTAAGAGGGAAGAGGTTTCTGTTTTATTTGAAATCTGATGGAGTAGTAAATAAAGTAAAGAAATCCCTGTTGACTCCAATTTTTTTAAATTAACCCATAAAAATATCTGTATTTGCATAAAAATCTGCAGTCCAACTATTACTATTACTCTGGAAACCGTACAATTTCAGTCAAGGTAACATACAATTATCGTTTGACAGTCCATTGTTCAGTTTGATCGTGTTTCTTTGTTATTTTTCTTTACCTGCTGTTCCAGACAAGAGATATGACGTGTCCCACTTTTGTGACTCACTCCAGAAACGCATACATACCTCGATAAGGTATATAAAACACGTCAAAGGTTCTTCAGTTGCGTCTGCTACTAATTCTTTCATTAAAACACGCACAATGAGTCTTTCAGCCGCGTGTATGCTAGTAGCTTCATTCTCGGTGATCGTTACGGACAACGGGATCCCTCTCGATTGCCGTGACACCGAACAACGCGTCTTTTGACAAAGGCGCGTCGTACTTTCGGCTTCCGTGGGTTCCCTGATAAACCGAGAGGGATAAAAAAAAGTTTCACGGCGCTATATATAAATCAAAAGGGAAGAAACGACTGGACCCGAAGCTTTCATCCGTCCGGTGAATGTAGGCGTCTGCTTGCCTATACTTACTATCTTATCAGACGCAACGACTGAAACGGATGTTGTGATAATGATAGTTAAAAAGGAAATGTTAAAAGGTGGCGATGAACGAGAGGAAATCCGAAATTATACGATGCTCCGTCTGACTCAATGAACAAGTCATTTGGAAGCTAAAAACTGATCTACGGTCAGGGTCGATGCATTATCTCGTGTAACTACAGTAAATCCTGGATGAGTGTTCGGTGGCTCCTCGGCACTGAACATTATAATTTCATAAACTAATCGCCATATGTAGCTGAAACAAATATCATTGGCTTCAGAATTCCAAGCTCTACCACTGTGCTAAACCTCATTAAAAAGTCAGCGTTACACCTGGGGGACCTCTCCTTGTCAGTGCTGAAGAGCCTTTAAACAGTCATCGGAGATTTACTGTACAGAATGCTTATCATTTCCATTCTAATATGGTAGCAGGTTATTTTCGAACATATTATCATAATTAATGCAGTCATTTAGAGCAGAATAAAATTAACTGATGATTTTTCGTATTTTCCTGTAAGCAAGCCCGATATTTACAAAATACTTCAAAATCAGTGTTTCACAACCATAGTTACTACAAACACGAGTTCATTAGAATGTTTCCCCCCAAATTACGTGTCCAGCGTTTTGTATCGATACGAAATGAAATTTCACTGCCATCCTTTATTCTGTACCAGGAAAATTTAGAGCATTCAGTTTGCATTGAGGTTGATTTATTTGTGAAACGCACTGTATTACATTCAAGCGAAGTAAAGGGTTTGGGGGGGGGGTGGGGACGCATATAAATTACGGCGAAGATAAACAAAATTGCTGGCTCAGTGTTTTGTAATGCGGGCCCTGCTCGCCGCTCGCGTGCTCAATAAATGCAATTAATTTTACCGGTCAATTACCGAGATAATACGACGGTGTCCATTTCGAGGGTATAATTAATAGCTCCGATATGGAAAATAGTACTGGCAATTTCGTCGTGTATCTAAACGAATCTTTTCATTTACGGGACGTACCGAATCGTTTATGTGTATCGTGAGTTCGGCTCGGGTGAAAGACTAGGGAACAGAGAGCGAGAGAGCGAGACAACCGGAGGAAGGAAAGCTCGACGAAAAGTGATATTCCTTTGGTTCACGCGCGAGCGACCCGACAGAGTTCCTCGATGTCCAGGGAGAGCCCCGGTGTATACGCTTCTTCGTGTTGAAGGATGGATCGCGTTACACGTCCGTATCGCGTAACACCTCGATCTACAAAGGAGAGCACACCTCGCGGCCTGGAACGGCTCTCGTACTTCGCTGTGTAGCACCCGGTGCCAATGATTCTTACCGCTATGTGCATATATACATATATACAGCCCCGTTTACCTTTCGGTAAAAATTATTTGCTGGATGTGTAACGTATACCAGCTCCAATGATTCCTGCCGGTTCGCTCCTATACCGTGCACGTGGAAACGGCACAAATCAATTGGAGCAACACGCGCAGACTGGTTCCGCCCGATCGACTCGCACTGGATCAGGATATGTATAATATGTATATCGGTGGTCGAGCGTTTCTCGCGCGTTTATGCGTATCCCCTCGTCAAGTCGAAATGCGACTCGTGGTCGGCTGAGCGCGGGCGGATTACTGCCTACGGTATGCATTCCATCCAAGCGGCTCCGAAGCTTTCTCCCGGCGGGACGACAGAGAAAAATACGTGAGAACGCGCATCGCCTCGGCGTTCGATTAGGAAGAAACTACGGTTACACGCTCTCGCTTTCGGTGAAACTCGTCACGCCGCATCGTTGTGCACTCGTTACCGGAGGATATTTCTTTTTATTGGGTTCATTGCTATTCGTAATGTTGGTGAGGGAGGGTGGGAGGAAAGGTGAGAGGAGGGAACAGTCGATCGGGGGAGGATCGAGAACGAGAGGTGATCGAGCGATCCCTGGTTTACGGCGGCTTCGGGGTAGTCTATGGCGAATCTCACGATCAGGAACGAAAGAAAAAAAGATAACGGCTGTAGCCTTCGTGCCAGACAGTATAGTGTTTCGCGACTTCGTGGTCACGCGACACCCTCTCGAACCCACCGAAGGCAGCAGCGTGGTGTCGGATAAGCGTTCGGCTGGCGCATGCTCGCTCGGACCCATTCGTGTAGGTCCGTGCAAGCTCGACCGGATTCGGCTCGCCCCGTCTCCGCTCGGCCGTTCTCGCCGCTTGGGAACGACCGGACCGACTCTCTCCAGCCCGCTGAATCACAGTCTGGGTCAGTTCGCCGAATGATCGTCTCTCCAAGCGGGAGGACGCGTGCGCGTGTGCACTACTGTGATCACGTGAGTGGAGAGCAGTTCGATACGATTTTGCGGCCGAGGATCCGCGGAGTGTCAAAGCAGTGTCAGTGAACCGACCGAAAAAATACGATACGCGGTGTGGCCAGTGGGATAATGTTTAAGTGTGTCGCCGTGAAGGCCGTCGAGGTTGCACGGAGAGAGACGAAACTCGCCGAGGAGACTAAGAACGCGTGACAGGTAAAACATAACCTCAATTTTTTCGGGGAGGTACAAAGCGAGAGGGTGAGTTTCATATGCGTCGTTCTCTCCACAACTTTTCGCGATTATTTCGTGAATATAACTACAACGGCGATTCGGTTGAAGCGTTCCTCCGTGGATTACTTTCGTTACGTTCACGCTGGTCGTACGAGAGCATCGAATAAGCTCGTTCTGTTGGACGACGGGGGGGCGCAAACGAGCCGTGGAACAGTACGTTACACCGAGCGATTTAAAAACGGTCGGTACATGAAATTACATACTTTCGATCGCACGCGTCGCTTATTTTACGACCGCCGAGGGAAAAGCGGCCGGAAGCCACTATTGTCCGTGTTCTAGGAACTACTGTCCACCTTCGAAGGCGTTGCTTCTCTTTCTTCTCTCTCTTTTTTCTTCTCGTTTGATTTTTGAACGGTGTCACGTGACCTTCCTGTGCGTTTTATCCTTGTCGCGAAGCCGTAGCGTCCGTTTGCCCCCGCAAGAATGTTCGAGCGTTTATCATCGGTGCGCGCGAGCGTGTTTCTCCCTCGTCCACCACGCCTTGAAATCCTTCGACCTTTGATTTCACGCGGCGAATGGAAATTCAAGAGGCGTCGAAAAGAAACACTTTCCTTCAGTTTCGGTCGTTCTTGTGTTATCTTGGACGTATTTTTGGATGATGATGGATTTCAGTCGCTTTCCTCCGAACGTCAACCATTGTTGATCGTTATCTATGAGTAATCACGGAACAGGTTTCATTATTAATGTCGTTACACGGTTCGCCGAGGTGTTCGTTCTTTTTTTATTCCCCAGACGAGGTGTTCAATTTTATTCTTCGATTAAAATCCGCTTGCTTGGCTAGACCTCAGGATAATTCCGAGAATTGTTTACGCGTATGAATCCGACTTGTGTTCTTAGTATTTCGACTACCATTCGTGATTACAAGTGTTGGCTGTTAATCGTGAAGTGTACTTTGGTGAGAATTTTTGTTTCAAGTTAGTTTTCGACGGGATACGATGTTAACGAACAGCAGTTTGAAATGACCGTCGAATATCTCGGGATAATTTTGTTTAGTCTGGTGTGTTAAGGTCAGTGGAGTTTGTGTTTGCTCGACGATATACGTTGGGTATTGTATTTTGAATAATTAACGAGGATATTGTTGAGATTATCAGTGACTACCAAAAAGGCTTCAACTCAAGACTGATGTGTGTATAATTAATTCGGAATTGTATAGAGAACTTGTAATTCTTTATGAATTGTATTGGTACAGAACACGTTGATTTTTGAAAAATGGTGGTAACCTCACGTTACATAAGAACTTGTTTAAAAAGTGTTTGTATGACTTTGGAATGGGGTCAAGCCACTTTCTAGGATACTTTATTTACGAAGTAAAACTTTCGGGATTAAAAATTATTTAGAAGTTACTGTCTTCTATTAACAATTTCTACGTACATACATTTATAGTATATATGCAGTCGTTTCTCGGGAACTCTAGAAGCTCTTCATACTGGAACAGATTACTTCCGGTGTAAATAAAGTCGGCATTTTTTTTCAAAGCTATACTAGTATGAAAAATACTTTAAATACCAAAATGTTGAGAAGTTACTTTATCCTGTACTAAAATTTGTAATATATTTTATAATATTCGTAGTTTTTTGCAAACACCAAAAAACTGATGAAACCTGACACCTGTAAAAAACCCTGTTTTCGGTCAACTTGAGGGCATTGAAGGTTTTCTCATTCTTGAAGCTACATTATAAACAATAATTCCCGAGTGAATCTGAGTAGTTGTGCTGTCCAGTAATAAAATATATAAAATATTCTGTAATATTCGTAGTTTCGCGGAAATACCAAAAAACGGACGAAACCCGTCATATCTAAAAAGTAACCCTGTTTCCGATCAAGTTGATAGCTCCAAGGACTTTCTCGTTCCCGAAGCTAAATCATAAACAATTCCCAAGAAACATCGAGTGGTTGTTTTGTCCTATAATGAATTTATAAAACACGCGGTATTCGTGGTTTCACGCACAACATCAAAAACTGATGAATCCTATCTGGTCTAAAAAGTGACCCGGTTTCCGGTCAAGTTGATGGTATTGAGGGCTTTCACATTCTCGAGGTTAAATTATAAATAATATTTCCCAAGTGAAATTGACCAGTACGTTTTGTCCCGTAATAAAATGCATGAAATACGCGTTTGTTCATGGTTTCGCGCACACGCCGAAAACAGATAAAGCGGTCGCGGCTAAAAAATGACCCGGTTTCCGGTCGGCGGGGTCTAATGAAGACACGCGTCTCCGCGGTTCACGTAACCGAATGCAAATATCCGTGTCTGGGATTGCGAGCGAAACTGCCGGCCAAGACGGGGAGGTGTCGTTTGTATGCGAGAATTACGACGATAATCCGTGGACAACGATCGATGTGTTCGCTGTTTCTCTTCTGTCACGCTTTCAGACGTCTCCAGCCGCTCGATCCGCCGTCCCTTCCTTTCTACCAGATCCGCGCGAACCCGTCTATCAGGAGGCTTAACAAATTAGCATAAATATTCGTAGTTGCCACTGTGCATCTATCATACTTACGGTGATGCATGCACAAATTGAAAACCAACAGATTCAGCGTGATATTAAGAAACACGGTTGGGAGGTGGCGACGACGACGTCGACTGGTCTGAGATAATAACAGTGATATGTACAATCCTACGAATGCGTGGATTACGAACGTGTATCATTGTTTAAATGTACGGGTTGACTCACAAATTCCGCTGCAAAGTTCGTGAGTGTACGTTCTGACAGTTTGATTCGGAAAAGAAAGTTCTGATGGGAATTGTTGATCGAAGGCCATCGTTTCTGTAATGTAATCGATCTAGGTCAGGGAACAAATCATTCTTTTTTGCACTTTTATTCATCGAGCGGAATGTGATTATTATTAGTGTTATATTATTATATCTACTTTACTGTAGAAATTATTAAACAAATTTAAGTGTATAGGAGGTGTAATGATGCATTTCAAAACTTCAGATATTCTGTAATACTTTCATATAATTCTATTCATTCTTTTAATTTTGTATGCATAAAAGTTTGTTTTTATTTCTCTTATCGTTGATACAGGAGATGGTCGTAAAATAGTGGCGAGCAAAAATGTTATCCAATTGAATAGTTTTCGGAAAATTGTTGACTCGCACAATCTGAAATCGATTCTGATATCATTTCGTAGTTAATATTTTTATCTACAGTCAAGGAATAATGAATGAAAGGTTTCAGTCTTTCCCTCGATAGCGTAACTTGGTGTACGACCCGTAGCCAAAAATGCGTTGACGTAGCAACAAACGAAGAGGCACGTAGCGACCATGAATGGCTGGAAGGGCGAGCCGAAAGTATGAATGGGTTAATCAATTTCCAAGCACAATCGCGGTATAACGCGTGTCCCTGGCAACCGCATATGCTGGCATCGCGTACACGTGTACGCGTATGTAGTAGAAATTTTCAATACGAAATGTCCTATAATACCTGGTTGCAAACATTCGTAACATGAATCATATTACTGTATCATTGGAGTGTATACATACTTCTGATAATAGAGAGATGTATGTTTATAGAAATCTTGCCTCTGTTAAAAAATGGGTAGAAACTGGACTATTGTAGTGAATACATAATTGTAGTATAATTTATTAGGCGTTTTAAAACTCTTAATTCTCAACTTTTGTAAATGTGTGCCATTTAAAATTACTTGCGTTTATTTATATTAACTTTTTGTCCTATAGTGTAGGTCTAAACACAATGTAAATTTTGTGATTTAGAAATAAAATTAATTCGTTAATTAAGGTCGCCAAGAAACTTCGATAGGAACATGAGTCTAGATTAGGGATGTGATTTTGAATGCTTTTTTCTTTCCGCAGTAACTACCATTGATCTTGAATATCAGATTGAGCACACTGTTAGTCTTCATTGATGAAATGTAAGTGCACCGAGGAAGAAAACCTGGTTAAATGTGTATAAATAATTTTTTTTTGCTCCAAATGTCCTTGGTCTTTAATACTACCACCACGTACAGAGCTAACATTAGTAATGGTTGCCAGCTAGGACGAAGAAGCACGGACCTGAATGAATCTCGCGCAACGAGCCGCGTGGATGATTATTGAGCGAATGATTCAGTGACTAGTCATTCGTGCAAGGTCCCACATCGTTTCTTTCATCGTTCGTGTGTACGTTCACTATTATTCTACGAGTGACTTGTGCGAGAGTAATTCTAATCAATGGCGTGATGCGGTGTTCAAACGTTCAATTAATTTTCGTATTTATTTATCTGTGAAAAAACATTCGTTGTTACTATTATACAATATAAGCAATAAATTACGTAGTTTTAAGGACAAATAAAACCAATAACTCAAGGTAACACTTTAAAGATTCTGCTTGATGGGGAATTCTTTTTCTCAATAAATCTGATGACCGATCACGTGGACACTTTTGCATTCAATCACACGCTTCAGAGGGCTAATTGCTTGCACAATCGGCTCCTAATCTCTCTTGCGTTGATTTTTCATCTCATCTATCAATGTTTCCCGGAGCCCGGGGCTGAAGTCACGTTTTCTTATCGAATAAATCGGCTACAGTGTGCCGCGCAGTGTCTCTTCGTGGGCAATTAACGAAATAGAATTAATTCGAAACGAGCAAGAACGCGTTTCCGGATCGAATCCCGTGATAGATGCGCTTCCCGCGATTTTACGGCCGGTCGAGTAACGAGCAAGTCAGGAGGGGTGGGTGCGTCGTTGTTTATTTATCTGGGACCAGTGACCGTTTTGCAATCGGTTTTCCGATAAGCCGATTTTATTCCGTATAATTTACAGTAATTTGAATACAAAACGTTAATCCATTTTTAATGGAGTGTGCCCTTAATAGCCGGCCCCCGGGGATTTTAATAGTAGCGCTAATTGTCCCACTATTTTAGTTAAACCATCGCCGGACGCGCACTTGTATAAACTGTCCGTCGTTATTTTAACGGACACC